CGCCCCTCCCCCCGCCCCGCCCTCCCGCCCGCACCCCCCCCGAGAACTCCATCCCTGCAAATAAACAAGGGGGGACCCCCAAACCCAGCGCTGACGCTCCCACAGTCCCTTTTTATTGTGCAATTAATTGGGTTTATATTAACAATCCTTAATAAGCACGTACCTGGGGGGAGGAGCAGCTAATTACTAATTACAATTAATAAAGCAATTAATTACAGCTCTGCCCCCCCTCCGACCTCTGCGTTTCAGGGGTGACAGACCCCCTGCTCCCCCAGTTTTGGGGTGCAGTGCTCCAGGGCAGGAGCGTGACCCCAAAAATGGGAACTGGAGCCTTGAACTTGGCTTTCGGGGGAGACCCCGGCGGGGCCCCCCGGATTTTTAGGGATGTCAGGAAAAACCTTAAAAAAAAAGGAGAAAAATAAAGGTTTTTCTCACCTTGGGAATATTTTGGGGGAAAAGGTGATTTTGAGCCCCCCTGTTTATGTTGGTACTACCCAGGTGCACCCCCAAACCCGGACCCCCTGGGTGACCCCCCCAGGGCTGCTCTGTCCCCCCCCAGGAGCCTCCAAACCACCGGGGGGTCCCTCAAGGTGCTCTGTCCCCCCCCAGGAGCCCCCAAACCACCGGGGGGTCCCCTCAAGGTGCTCTGTCCCCCCCCAGGTGCCTCCCCCGAGCTGATCCACCCCCATCCAGGTGTTCCCCAAATTCCCAGGGTGCCCCCCAAGGTGCTCTGACCCTCTCCAGGTGCCCCCCACTCACCATCCCCTCACTCTTCAGCAGTGCCCCGGGGTTGGGGGGTCCCCACGGGCACGGGGGGGCACTGCCAGGCCAGCTCTCAGGTGGCCCCCCCAGGGACACCCCTCCAGCGTCCCCCAACTCCTGCTCAGTGCCGTGTTCCTGGCAAAAGGGGAATTAAAAAATGTATTAGAATTGGGGGGAGGCCCCCCGGTAATAACACCCCCCCCCAATAGTACCCCCCATAATTAATCAATTGAATAATTAAATTAATTCCAACCTCAAAAACCTCAAGCAGGAAAATCCCCACCAGGCCCCCAAATTATAGGGGGGTTGTTGGGTCAGTTTTGGGGCTTATCCTCAATAATATTTTTGTTTGTTTTTAAATTAATTCCAACCTGAAAAATAAGACTAAAAATCCCCCAAAGCCCACTTTATAGGGGGTCCTCATAGGTGGGGGTCAATTTTAAAGTCCCTCCTCAAATAATAATTCAATTTAATTTTGATTATTAAATTAATTCCAAGCTGAAAAATATCAAGAAAAATCCCACGAGCCTCCCCAAACCCCAGAGTTATAGGGGAGTTTGGAAATGAAGGGTCAGTTTTTGGGGTCCCTGTATGCTGAAGGTCAGTTTTGGGATGTGTCCCCCCCCAGTTGTTATATTTATTGTTAACTTGAATTCCAAATTAAAAAACCAGAAGGAATTGGAATAAATCTGTCCCTCCCTCCACGTACCCATCCCCAACCAGGCACTCCCCCCCACCAGCCCTGCCAAAATCCAATTATAAGGGGTTTTGGAGCCCAGGGATCAATTTTGGGGTGCCCCACAATAATTTCATGACTGAAAATACATTGAACTATTGATTCCAAAATGAAAAATATCAACAAAATCTCCATCAGCCCCCCCAAATCCCCCATTTTTGCCCCCAGCCGGTGTGGGTGTTTCGGTGGGGGGTGAGTTTGGGGGTCCCCACCTGGCAGCATCCCGGATTTGGGGGTACCCACCTGGAAGCCCCCGTGTCCTGGATTTGGGGGTACCCACCTGGCAGTGTCCCGGGTTTGGGGGTACCCACCTGGCAGCGTCCCGGATTTGGGGGTACCCACCTGGCAGTGTCCCGGGTTTGGGGGTACCCACCTGGGTCCCCCCGTGTCCCGCAGCACGCCCCGCAGCAGGCGGATGTACTGGGCCGCTGCCCGCAGCGTGTCGGCCTTGCTGGGCCGGCGGTCCCGCGGCACCAGCGGCACCAGGCTCCGCAGCCGAGAGAAGCCGCTGTTGAGGTTCCGGATCTGTGGGACAGAGACCCCGAGGGGACCCCGATCAGAGACCCCGAGGGGACCCCGATCAGAGACCCCGAGGGGACCCCGATCAGAGACTCCCCGGGTCGGACCAAGAGCCTGAGTTAGAGCAGGAACCCCCCAGGATCAAACTGGGATCTCTTGAGATCAAACTGGGACCACCCCCAGGATTAAACCAGACCCCCCCATAATCAAAACCGACCCCGCCAGCATTCAACTGCCCCCCAAGAATTAATTTAGGTCCCTCACAGAATTAAACTGGGGTCTCCTGGATTAAACCGGGCTCACCAGGGTTAAACGCGACTCAGAACTGAACCGGGACCTCAGAGTTTAACCGTGCCCCATCTGGAGTGAAACTGGCACCTCCTAGATCTGACTGGGTTTAGCAGATTTAAAGTGGCCCCTTCCAGGATTAAACTGGACCACCAGGCCCCCCTAAAACTCAACTGCCCCAGCCCAGGATCAAACCCACCCCGTCAAAGGCAGAGCCCCCCGGACCAGCCTTGTGGCGGCACTGCCCGTGTCCCCAGGCAGAGCAGCCCCGGTGTCACCACGGTGTGACCCGACCCCGGGCTGTGATTTAGGGGGGCTCAGCAGGTTTTGGGGGGGCTCAGCAGGTTTTGGGGTGTCTCACCCTCTCCCTCTCCTTGGCGTTGGCCGCCTGCCGCCGCTCCAGAGCCTCGCTGGGGTCCCCGGTGGGCTCGTAGGCCCCGCTGGGGCCGCGCCGCAGGCGGGCGATGGCGGCCGGCCGGGGCAGGGGCCCGAAGCGCTGCCTCAGGAGCCCCTCCAGCACCTCGGGGGGCGGCGTGGGCTGCAGGACCCCCGGGGGCTCTGGGACCTCCGAGGGCTGCAGGACCCCCGGGGGCTCTGGGACCTCCGAGGGCTGCAGGACCCCCGGGGGCTCTGGGACCTCCGAGGGCTCCGGGACCTCCAAAGGCTGTGGGACCCCTGAGGGCTTCAGGATCTCTGAGGGCTCCGAGACCCCCAAAGGTTCTGAGACCCCTGAGGGCTCCAGGACCTCCGAGGGCTGTGGGATCCCTGAGGGCTCCAGGATCTCCGAGGGCTCCGAGACCCCTGAGGGCTCCAGAATATCTGAGGGCTCCAGGACCTCCAAAGGCTGTGGGATCCCTGAGGGCTCCGAGACCCCCAAAGGTTCTGAGACCCCTGAGGGCTCCAGGACCTCTGAGGGCTCCAGGACCTCCAGCCACCCCCCAGCTCTGCTGGGCTCCCCCATCCCACCAAAGGACAGAAGCTGCACCCTCTGAGCTGACTCTCCAAAAGAGGGGAGATTGCTGAAAAAGGGCCCTAAATACCCGGGGCCAAACGAGGCACAGGTGGATTCCCCTGGGCCTGACGAGCTCGGGCTGTGCCTCAGTTTCCTCACCCACGATCCCAGCCTGGAGCCCACAAAATCCTGATCCCCTGCTGTGCCTCAGCTGTCCCAGCCTGGTATCCACAAAGCCCCGTGAAAAACGAGGTGCACGTAATTTTTATAGAGTTTAAAAGTTTAATAAAAAAGACAATTAGGAGAAAAAAATAAAGTATACAGATGTGGCCGGGTGTCTGTGCATTCACCTTTACTGACAAAGGATTGTCCCTTAAAAACAGAACCCTACTACATATCCATAAATTCTCATTCATATCCATAAATTCTCATTCATATCCATAAATTCTCACAAATATCCATAAATTCTCACAAATATCCATAAATTCTCATACATATTCAGACATTTTTCTTAGGATTTTTGGGGTTCTTCTGTTTAGTTTTCTCTTGCCCTCTTCCCAATAGTTCAATCCTCTTGGCACCATCGAGATTTACATTCCCTGATACCAGAAATGCAATAAATTCCTCCCCCAGAGCTCTGCTCACTGCTGTCTTCATCTGGATAAAACAGTTTAAAATGCAGGAGTTCTGTATATTTTTTTTTTCCCTCAGTCTTTGGGTTATACAAACAAAACCAGTTTTTATTTTAATACTATTCCATAGCCTAACATATATGTATTATACTACTATTTCTAAGTTTCATCAATAACAGAAATAAAGAAAACTATATTAATACAACAAAATTTCCCATTCTTATACACATAACACATTCATTTTAATATTTGCGGAAAGCCAACAATATAATCTGTTAATAATAATTATAATTATATTAATAATTATATTAATAATATAATAACAGCCCTGAGCCCAAAAAAGGCCCCCCAAAACCACGCTGAGGGGGAATTTGGGGGTCTGGCACCGGTGGGCACCTGGATCCTCTCCAGAGAGAAAAGAGCTGGCTTGAAAGGCCTCGTTTATTCTTAAAAACGTGGGGAAAACAGAAATAAAAGATTTAATGAGACGAGGCTCGGTAGATGGCAGTGTTGGTCCCTGACATGCTGCAAAACTCGGGGAGGCTGGAAAATAAATGGTGAAATCTCCCTTTTTCCTCCAATAAAAGTTCAGATCACTTGGGGTTATCCACCATGGGGGGATCCCAGTCCCCCACCACCGGGATGGATTTCCCCTCCCCTCTGGAGTTTTCACGGGGAAAAGTCCTTCAGGGGAGTTCATCCCGGTTTTCCTGGGAAATCTGGGGGCTCCCAGGGTGCTCTGAGGTGTGTGTGGGGTATGGACATGTCCCCTGTGCGGGGTTGAGGCTGCGCTGCCTCAGTTTCCCCAAAGCTGGAAGCACCTGCAGGAGCTGAATACATTCCCCAGCTGCTCCGGGGTCCTGGAAGTTCCTTCTGTGTCCATAAGGAGAGAGAGAGTGCGGAGCAATCTCTAAAGAAACCCCAAAATGACCCTAAAATGAGAGGCACCTGGAAATTAATTGAGGTTTTCCTAAGAACTTAGAAAAACCCAATTTTCTTCTCTTTAATGCTCTGTAATGAGCTTCCCTATCCCACAGCAGGCTCTGGATAATCCCATTATTCCTGCCCCGATCTGGGCAGAATTCCAGTATCAGACAAATTAATCTGAGGGCAGGGAGATGTAAAGTCACCCCAAAAATGGGTCCGTGCCCAGCAGCTCACCTGAGCTCACCCCTGCGAGTATCTGGGGGGGTCAAACTGGTTTTGTTCCTTCTCTGTGCTGGGAAAAGCTGGGGAATGCTCCAAGTTCAACAGAGAGGGATTAAATATCGAGGGGAAATGGGGTTTGCAAGGGTTGTGCCCTGAGGGGAAATGAGTGGAGCCAGTGGGAAAAGAATTGGGGATTGGGGAGGATTGGGAGGCACAATTATTGAGGTGTCATGGTCATTGGGGGTCAGGGTGTTCAGGGGTCACAGTGAGCTCATTTTACACTCATGGTTATTAGGATTTGGGGTTATTAGGGGTCACGGTTAATAGGGTTTGGGGTTATTAGGGGTCACAGATTTAGGGGTTACAATAATTAGCATTTGGGGTTATTAGGGATCATGGTTTTAAGGGGTCATAGTTATTAGGGCCCACATTTTTTAGGGTCACTGTTTTTTGAGGTCACTGTTATTAGGGAGCTCATTTTTCAGGGGTTGTGTTTTTTAGGGTGACAGTCCTGAGGGGGCAGGGTGCTGAGGGGTCCCAGTTAGGGATGGGAGCTTGGAAAAGGCTGAACTCCAGTGAAACATCATCCTGTGCTGTTTTGGGAATGCCCGTTTGGAATGCTGTTCTCCAGCCCTCCAGGCTCACTTTTCCCGTTCGTTTTTCCTCTCTGAGCACGGACAGAGCTGGAAGCAGCTCCCAACCCTCCACCCCAGGATGCTCCCTAAATCCAGGAGTCCCCATCCCAACGCCGATGATCCATCGAGGATCTGACATTGGATATCCAGACTGGAAACACGAGCCGGGGGTTTCCAGTTACCGTGGAGGGGTGGCCTGGGAAGGTCAGGGAAGGGGAACGGTGCCAGGGCTAATCTGGGGCCAGGGCAGCTGTTGGCATGGGATTAAACCCAATCTTTCCTGGCACTGTCCCAAACCTTTTGGGAGCGTCTGGTCCCTGCCAGAGCTGCCAGCCTCGTGCCAGCCTCGTGGTGCCCAGATCTCGGCCACAGGTGGGGAGAGCAGCAATAAAATATTCCAGAGGGCCTTTATGGAGATGTGGCCACTTCCACCTCTCCATCCTCCTCCTCCCCCTGCTGCCAAACACATCCCAAGACACCTCCTCCGCTGGCATGAATCCTAAAATCTCTGGCATAATTCATAACCTGCTCCCTGAGCTCTCCAAGGGTCGAGCCTGGGTTGGCACCAGGATCCTCATCCTTTTTCCAGCGGGTTCTGGGTACCCAGGGATGGGCTCGCTGCTGCCAGGGCAGGGAAATGTGGGTGGGCAGGGAAATGTGGACAGGGAGACTCCTGGAAAACTTCTGTCCTGTCATTAAAATCATGAAATCCTCTCTCCTGCTGTCGGTGCTGCTGGTGACATCAGGACCAAAGCTCCCAAGTGCCTCATCTTTGCCCATATCCCGGTGCTCTGATGCGAGACAGAGAGATCTCTCCTGCCTCAGTTTCCCCAGCTCACCCAGAAGTCTGAAGGGATATTTGGGAGGGAATTCCAGAGGCTGCGTTTGCACCTAAATCCAGCTCTGGGGTTGATGCTGGAGGATTTGCGGCTGGGTGGGTTCCGGGTGCAACGTCCGGGGGTCCGAGGGACATCCCGGGGACATCCCGGGGACATCCCTGGGACATCCCGGGAACATCCCGGGGACATCCCTGGGACATCCCGGGGACATCCCGGGGACATCCCGGGGACATCCCTGGGACCTCCCTGGGACATCCCGGGGACATCCCGGGGACCTCCCTGGGACATCCCGGGGACATCCCGGGGACATCCCGGCGGGCATCGCCATCCCGCTGCATCCCCGGCTCTTGCTCCTCCACCTCTCCTTATCAAGGGATTTTGTGTCCCCCTTTTGTGATGGAGAGCAGGGGTGGGAATTGTCCCGGCCACCCGCCGAGGTTCGCGGGGGTCCCGGGCTGGGAAGGGACAGGTCTCACCCCCGCCATGCCTGGATTATCCACGGGGAGGGAGACACAATAAAGGGATTTATCGGCACGGCGAGGATTCGGGCAGGGACAGCCGGGCTGTGGGGGTCGGCATCGCTTGGATCCCCTCAACCCCAACCATCATTCCAGGGGGGGATATTAAACAATCCCGGTTTGGTTAAATCCAAATCATGACCAAAATCCTACTGGGATTGGTGGGAGGGAGTGAATCCGAGACGAGCAGCGATGCCCCCGGCGCTCATCTCCCACCACCCAGCGCTCGCGGATCACTGATTTTCTCATTCCCGGAGATTCCCGGGAAGCGGATCCGGAGCCGAGGGCTGGTGCCGGTCCTGCCCCGCGGCCGCGCTCGGAGCGGGGCGAACAAAGGTGGCTCTGTCCGGCTGAAGGAGCCTTTGTGCGAGCTGTGGGCGGCAGGGGAACGATCCCAGCCTGGAGCAGCCGGAGTTCTCCCCGTCCGAGAGCAGAGGAATTTTTGGAGATAAAAGAAGTTTCCATTGGATGGAGGCGCTGCCAAACCCTCGTCATGAGGCAGGTGGATGTGGGGACAGCTCCGGGTGGGGGTCTGGCTTTCCCGGGGTCTGGATGAGTCCTGGGCTGTCGCCCTGGGAATGGGATGGGACAGGAAAGGGACTGGGGATGAGATGGGACAGGAACCAGGACGGTGTAAGGGATGGGGATGGGACAGGGGTGAAACAGGGACAGGGATCAGGACAGAGATGGTGACAGGGATGGAGATGAGAATGGGGATGGGGATAGGAATGAGGACAGGGATGAGGGTTGGAGAAGGCACAGAAGCAGTATGGGGACAGGGGTGGTGTCAGGGATGGGGATGGGATGGGAACAGGAATCAGGATGGGGTTGGATTGGGAACAGGAACCAAGACAGAGATGGTGGCAGGGATGGGAGCAGGTTTGAGATGGGGATGGGGACAGGGCAGGGATGAGGATGGGATTGGGATTGGGACTGGGACAGCGGTTGGGGCAGGGATGAGACAGGGACAGGGATCAGGATGGGGACAGGGGTGGGACCGGGGCTGGAGCTCAGCTCTGCCTTGCCCCACCAGCCCACACAGAACCCGACCAAGGGCTGGGACCGAGCTGAGCACCTGGACAAAGATTTAGGTCTGGTATTAACCTTTAGCCCATCCAGGTGATGCCCAAATCCAGCCTGGAGCCTGCTGCTCCCAAATCTGAGCTTTACCCCTTCTCTCAAGCCCATCCCTCTCTGTGATGGGAAAACCTGGGGCTGCAGCTCCATCCTCCTCCT